CCACCTATTAGGTGACTGCATAATAAAGTGACAACTGCTTCTGGTCAAGTCGAAGTCGGCTGAGGGACCATCATTCATATTTAAAAAAAAAAAAAAAAAAAAAAAAAAAAAAAAAAACTTAATAACAACAAAAAATCTCAAAGGTTTCAGGTTTTAAACTACGTCCAAAGAGGGCGTTTTTTTTAACGTTTTGTGTGCTACCTTTATTTATTAAATATCATATTCTTTGCACTTAAACCATAAAATTCATTTAAATAGCAATGTCGCAAAAGAATTTTAAAAAAGCATATCTTTAGAAGAATTTCCGATACACAGTTCCGCGCGCTGGAGATAATTTTTTTTTTCGTATAGTGTTGCCATTCCTCGCTTTTAAATCGTTGAGTTTGTTAATCAAAAATTCGTTAAAGTTTTACAAAATATGAAATAGATAATAAAACAAATTTCAAATTTGGGCTTCCAGATGCCCATATTCGCAGGAGGATTACGTCATTCAAAATTCGATGGCTCTATGTACCGTTGTTTTATCACAATGCGAGAAATATGCATATATTTATGCACATTTTTCATTATTTAATTTCTTCGAATATAATGCAGGACTCTAACATTTGGTGGCAACAGTTTGAAAAGTGATTCGCCGTTTATAGTGATTCAACGCAAAATCGCAAAACGAAAAGAATAGTCCTCCAGGATCAAAGTCTCTTACACCTAATGATAAACCGTTAAAGTGGGAAAAAAAATGACACTATAAAATATCTGTCGTTTTATAAATTAACTGATGATAAACCGTTAGTGTTTAGAAAATTATATTTCATATTACGGATAGATTAAATAATAACGGAATGCATAATATTATTGCTAGATTCGTTAAACCGTAATAAAAAATAACAAACTATACTACGCCAATAGTTCTGTTTAGCAGCTTTCGTGTGCCGTCTTTACTGAAAATTCGTCATTTATCAACACTTTAATGTGAACAAGCTGTTAGCTTCCAGTTAGGGATGGATGAAATTTAGTTTAAAGACTGGCAATCATTATTTAACAGAGGAGAAACATTTGCTCCCCGTGAATTCTTTCCTTCCGGGTGAGGTGGGTCGGTTTCTTTAAGGAAACGGGTGAAGCAAACCACGGGGGAGAACATACGATTTTCCCGCAGGCAAGTTGGAAAAACCTGCTATCGAAATGACCTTGCTCAGCTGCAGCCAGCTCAACGTCTTACCCTTAAAACCTCCCTCAAGAGAGCCCGCTATAACCCTGCCCGTTTGGCAAGTTTCCCCATCTCCAATCGGCGACATTATTTGGCGAGATTTTAGAGTTCCTTTTTTTCCGTTCCTTATTTTCCGAGTGACATTTTTTCCGTTCCTTATTTTCCGGGGACATTCTTTCCGTTTCCCATTTTCCGGGTGACATTTTTTCCGCACACCGTTGTATCTTGGGAAATGTTTCACAGCGAACGAAAAAATTTTGAGGAGCGTGGTAAAAAAAAATGTGAGGAGCCTGAATTTAATAATTTTGTGGGTATAATTGGTTCGGAAAAGGTTGAAGTAGACGGTAATTTATCAAATATGCCCGAGGAGGAGTGATTGGGCCAGAAGAGTGGTTAAATAATTATTGGAGTTAAATAATAAGGTGATTGAGAATGAATGAATTAATTAATCAAACTTAAGTAGAAATTAATTAATAAGATAAAAAAGTAAGTTAAAATATTAAATATCCGAAAAGGGCATAAGAAAGGGAAATTGTATAAAAATCAAATAAAAAATTAAAGAATTCATTTTTGATTAATTTTTCTCGTAGAAATATTGCTTTCCTTAGTACTTCTGAATTTATAGAAAAGAACTCATATCAATGCGCACATGAGTTGTTTCCCGTAACATCTGCAAGCAATGATTTAAATTTTTATGAGTGTTATTTTATTGGCAAGTTAAAAAAATTGCTAAGTTAAAAAAATTGAGAAATACGGGAGAAGAGGTTCGGAGAGACTTCATTCTGTTGCGGCTTGGTCCTCTGTGTTTGACCGTGATATGTAGAAGAAAAGAAAAAAAAAAGATATGAAAGAGTCTTCATTTCTTTTTCGGCTTGCTGCCCTTGCTAGGAGAGACCTGAGTTTTTAGACGAAGATAAAATGATTCCTACAACTTAAACAACTTTCTACAACGTAGTCAGCCCAAGCTCCCGGAATTTCTTGTGGCAAGGAGCGCAAGATTACACCTGTCGTTGGCAACAGCCATGAACACCTAACAGATGACAGTATGATTTGACTCAGTTTCGCCACCAGTTTTGATGGAGAGCACCCAAAAGGGGGGGGCTTAGGGTCTCCCATCCCTCTCCCCTTCCACCAAACTACACGAAAGCTTTCGGTTCGCCGCATATTTAGAGTGCCACAATGCGCAGTGAACAGTGTACATTTACAAACATCCATGCCTTGTCTAGGATTCGAACCTGGGCCCTTCGGCACGGCAGTCAGCGACCCGTTGGGCGGCCATGTGAGTAAAACAATGAAACTGTGTAACTAATAATATGCGAAATTTAATAATATACTTCTGTCCACTACAGTAAATTAAGGAAATTGATTTTTTTTATTATATAAATCGAACTTGTGTATGTGTAACTGCGGTTATATTTGTATGTTATTACGAAACGTTCATTAAAAAATAAGATTAAAATAATAAGGTACTTTATTATTCAAAATGTGTGACGTAATTATCAAGGAATTTCAATGTTTCTTATTTTTTTATTTGCACACCTATTTTTCCCTTACACGGTATAGGGTTTTTTTGCTTGTGACGTTTCTGTGCAAATGAATTAAAGCTATAGCAATTCTAGGAAAGAAATCCTTTATGTAATACCATATTGGCCACATCAATACCTAAAATAATTTCTCAATCCAAGAAGGTAAAAAAAAGGTTAATTATTTATAAATTTTTACATTTCACGTACTTTTTTAAAAACAGAAGTAAAGTATAGTTTTTAGTATTTAAAGAAGAAAATGCATGGTTATGTGTTTCTTTGCTGGGCCATTAAGACGTCTGAACATACACCTGCTAAGATCCTACTGGATGGTCAAAGAAGTCTTTTTATTGAATTCCCCAATCCAGTCCAAGCCCGTCTTTTTTACCTTAGATAAACTGTCTTCAGTCAGTATTTGCTAATATTCGGCTTAGTTCGGATATTAAAATTTTGATCTCGAAGTTTTGTTAATTTTCTTCCCGTTTTTGTGACTTCTCCAACATCGCGCCTAAATATATTATGCAATTCGTTTTAAGCTTCAATTATATTAATTTAGAAACTTGTGAATTGGGGATTACTTTATATGAACTTACATTAGTTTATATGTTTCAGCCTTGCAGTTTCTTAGGGTATTGTTCTTTTAAAAATATGTAATCCTGTGAACGATAACTAAAATCATATGTAACGAAACTTGCAGCAAAGGTTAAAAAAAAGCAACACGAATGAAAATAATGCATTTCCTTTTGAAGTTCATCCAGTGTAAGCCTTAGAAACTGATCAAAAGCTTTGTGTTTAAAAAGTATATTTATTTTAAGCGTAATATTGTTGCATGTAATATACGGATGTATAAAAGCTTAAAATCGCTCGATAGATTTTTTTTTTATGATGGAAGTAAAATATAGAACGGTGTCACCAAAAATCGATGAACCATTGCCAGACATCACTGCCAGGGCTAATTTATATTTCACATTTAAATAGCTTTTGTTTAACAGTAGGGCAGTAGAGTGTATCAGTTTTCGTTTTAGTACTGTAAGTATACCCTGCACAAAAAATGGGACAGTTCTGTAGCTTCCGTTTTACTGGGCCGATTGACAAAATTTAACTTGCGTGATGTCTCGAAAGCATGATTTAGGATATATATTATATTTATATGTAGCATTGTTCGAGCATAAGTAATCTGACACAAAATTTGATTTTTTCTGAAAGGACATACCTATTTGTTTCCATATTTCGATTCTAATTAAATTATGTCAAAATGCCAAGTTTTGTAAAATTCGTGCGAGTAGTTTTAAAAAATTAGCTCTCAATGTTAATTGAATTTGAAATATATTTATTAATATCTCTTCTTTTTATTGAACTTACTTGCTTCATTCTTTCAGAGTTCTAAATTTACCTTCAATACGAAAAAAAAGTTTGCATATATTTTATGATTTATTTTTTTAATTTGTATTTTTTAGTAATTTTGATAATTTTTTCGAAAACATTTTTGAATTACAACCTATAAAAATTTTACCACCACCTTAATGTAGATGTATTTCTAGACACACCTGCAAACTATTAGTGTTTTTTATTCAAATTTTTTAAAGATATATGTGAGTTTATATATTGGCGCGTTTTGATATTTGACATATTTGATATAAGCGATAATTACGCCTTATGTGTTAAAATTATTTGAAAGAAGGAAAACTTAACAGTTCTGCTCGTACAAAGTGAAAAATGAGAAAGGAAAATAGGTTACTATAAATTAAGAATTTCGCCGAGTGAATTATTCTTGGCCCAAATTGAGAAAAGTGCACCAAGATAAATTTTTACATTTCTCGGTAAGTTTCTCACCACATTTTACAAAATTTAATATTTGGGCATAGTTTTAGTTGTAGAATAGAAAAAATTTGAAATAACATTTCAGAAAAAGGTCCAATTTTATGTCAAATACCTATGGTAGAACAATGCTATATATAAATCTAATATATATCCTAAGTCGCAGTTTTAAGTTTCTACTTTCCTGTAGCAGTTTCACTGATATTTTAACCATAGTTCGTTTAAAGCAAGCAAATCGAAGTGCTTTATTTTCGATAATCAATATACATTATAAAATGTGTCTCCTATACAATATACAGGTTATTAAATAAAACTCCAAATAGGATGTTGGGCACAATTTTTATACTGAACATTACAATGTTCTGAATTAATATTTGATGCATGAAATATACTTTCCCCGATAAAAGGAAGCACAATTTTATTTATGTTGAGCTTTTGTCTCCTTTTTTTTTCAGGTTTAAAAGTGAGAATTTTCACCCTAGTTATCAAATTAATACTTTGCGTGCTGTACGTCATACGGGTTGTTTTGGATCGTGGACCCAACAGTGCTGCTTGGTAAGTTTCATTCATACTCTCTAAAGACCTGCATATTCTCGGTACAAAACATCATTCATTCGTCGCATAATACATGATAGATGGTATCAAAATGTAGTTCCTAAAAGCATCTACCGAATAGGCTTTTATCATTTGAATTCAACAAGTTAGTAGCATCTACATTAACATCTGCGTTAAGGATTTTCTAATACGGTCATCCATCATGTGAGCTGCCAAGGATAACAAATGAAATGATTGAGGTTAATGCAACTTCACTCAGGTCTTTTAGCATTCTTGTTTGAAGTACGTTTAGTGAAACTTTAATAAATTTGATAATTTTTCTTTCAGTTTTATAGACAGACATAGAACTAAGCTCAAACACAATATTTTTTCAGACAACGATTTCATTCTTGTTAACTATGCAAAAAGTATTCTAATGGAACAATCAAATCAGTTTTTGAGTTATATATATGTATACAGAGAGAGAGACGTCTAAATCATGAAGAACGTAAAGAAGTAACAAAGAAGCATTGTTGTGGACATTAGGTGCGAATTTAGTAAATTTGACCTTAACATAAAACATTAAAGTTAACATAAGCAAATTCAGTGACATTGCAGATTTACTGGAATATCAGTTTATTCTAAATATCTCTAATTGTTATATTTATTCAAATGATAATCATTCAATTATTTTTTTTTATAAAAAACTGCATGAAATATAAAATTTTTTTAGCCTTTCTTTATAATCGCTTATCGTTGCTTAGTAACCAAAAAATATAACGTATAAATTTTATAAATTGAGGCAGAAAAGCTCCTAACGGTAAAAGATTATATATGTATTAAATCACGTAACTAGGCAAATTCAGAACGTCGTTTTAGAAAAATGCGTAAAACATCATTACAGAATATAGCAAAATGTATATAAATATTTAGATATGAAATATTTATATTATATAATATACATAAGTGTAATAAACATTTAAATACGAAATGCATTTTTATGTCAATTTTGATATTTTACGAAGTAATAGGTTTACATCTAATATGCTCCTTTTTTAAAAGATGCTGAAAATATGTTACTTATGTCAAACCAAGGATGATAGTGATATCTTCCTCCAGCCAATCCCATTTCTCCATGTAGTCGTTTTTTAACTCCTTAAATTTCTTGAAGTAGGCTGATAAGCATTAGCTCATTTTCTAGGAGAAGGCGAAGTATGTTCAATAATATTCTGAGTCAAGCGGCTTGTCTAACGAATTCATCTTTCAAACGTCCTCAGCAGCAGGATTTCAATGAACAAGTTGGCGTTATGAAATTAAATAGTCTTGCCATTAAAGAAGATTAAAATCAGCAAAGCCCTGAAATGCTTTACATAAGTCTAGAGGATTTCTTTTTGTAGCTCACAGCCTGCTAATTTAAAATAAATATTTTCGAATATGTAATCTGCAATAATTAATGCCACCTCAAACAAAACCAGTAAATCGACCGTTGCTTAGGAGTCTCAATATCGAACATTTTGGAGATTGTAATGAGCTCTGTTAATTGAACTGTTGGCGAAGAGGGTTACAGCAGAAAACATCGCGGACGAAACCTGCGGGGAAAACAACGCAAAGCGGAAACGTCGTGGTACAAAACATCGTGGGAGAAAAGAAAGCAAAGAGAAAAACATTGTAGTTCTAAAGTATCGTTATCGAAAAGAAAGAGGTTCAGAAACTTCGCAGTTTAAAAACATCGTCGTCTAAAATATCGTGGTAAAAAATAAATCACCTACAAATCATCGCGTGATGCGCACACATGCGTTTTTCAGGTTTTAAGATCTGTAAAGCATTTTCGCATGAAGATTTGTAAGCACAAGGAATGTTAACGACACGAATATACGGAAACAAGAATAAACGGAAACAAGATATAATTTTCATCGAAACAATATCAGATTAACAAGCGTGAAATAAAGCAATTTGACAATTAGTTAAGCAATTTTTATAGAGGTAACCTCGTGCAGTTATTTATCTTTCTTTTTCTAAACATTTTTAGTAAGTATTTTTCGTAAAGAATTATGAGTAAAACTTTATAAAAAAAATTGGTTTATTAATGACCATTGTTAATTAACTATGCAAATTTGAAATTCTGTTTAGTGCTGTAAGTTGCATTAATTTTCTACTCATTTTCAATTTTTAAATGCTTAAGTTTCCTTCTCATGTTTTCAGCAAATATTTATTAGTTCATTCAAAAATATGAAATATTAAGGTATAAATATTACTCTTTCCTTCTTGCGTTCCCAAATTATTATGCGAAAATGCATTTACAGATTTTAAAACCTGAAAAGCGCATATGTTCAACGTTATCGTCATGCGATGATTTGTAGGTACTTTATTTTTTACCACGATATTTTTGAACTGTAAAGTTTTTGAACCGCTTTATTTTCGATGACGATATTTTGTACCACGATGTTTTAAAACTGAGAATTTTTTGCTTTCTTTTCTCCCACGATGTTTTGTACCACGGCGTTTTCGCCTTGCGTTGTTTTCTCCGCCACGTTTCCGTCCGCATTGTTTTTGTAGCGAAGTTTTCAGCGGACACCGTTGACAAGAATTAGTTTGTTATTGGATCTTGGTTAAACACTAAAATGTGCAATAAATCATCTATTCTGTTTTCAGTAATAGGATATTGTTATAGCTGATCTTTACTTGGAATTCATATCATCTTGTGCCCTTAAAGTACTACTAAAACATTTAAATAAATATAGAATAGATACTGAAGTTCTTGGTTATACAGAGCTGTTGAATCCGTACGGCCGTTTATGTGCTGGGTCGGTAAGCGTGGTATATTGAAAACTTTTTTATTCATATGAAAACTTCTGAGACCTACCAAACGAGCAACAGTTATCGCATTATCTGGGTTCTGACATCATTTTTCATCCTTATAGAAGGCATCCCTTGCTTTGTTCCTTTAATTATTATTCCCTTTCCGTTCATTACAGTCGTTATTAGTTACAAGGATTATCTGTTTTCAGATGAAGAAACCGATCAATTTCAGTCATCGAAAGTGCTCCCGCTCAAATAAAAATACCTAAAAAAATATTGTTTTAGGAGTATTTAGAACTGTTTTATAATTTTTCTCTATTCTCTGTAACTGATTGATTAATGGAATTTCAGTGTATTAAATATCGTAAATCTTATGGTTGGCTCATAACCTTTTTAAGTAGAATGTCGATCGCAACAATAAATAAATTTGCTACACCTAACGTATAAGAACTTGGATGCTAGTTGGATCGCAACACAAAAGAGCTGAAGTTTGGTAATGCTAAGTGTCCACTGAGATTTCAGTGCAGAACTGCCATCTTTGGTGCCATTTTAAAAGAATTCCAAATTGACTTAAGTTTACTTTATAATGTATGTTTGAAGTTGCTGAATTATTTATAATGTGATTTTGTTGTAAAAGGTGCTAATATTTAATTAAATTTTCTATATTTTATGTTCTGTGTATTCTTTGTATTTTCCCCTTAGTTGTTATTTTACCTCAGGGGAGAGTTTCAGCTGTAATATTACTAAAATCATTTAATGTTTTTAAAATTATTTTGCATTTTTCCGTATTTCATTAGAAAGCTTAAAAATGAACACATATTATAATGCTTTATTTGTTTCTTTGTTACCTATAATATCTTGTTAGGGAATATCATTATTTAATGTTTGACTGTTAATCATATCAGCCCACCAGCGGCCGAGCGGTAAAGTCGCTGAACACTGGTAGTTAGGTCCGAGGTTCAAATCCCGCGAACGGGCTGGCTGCATGGGCGTTTTCGTTGTTTTCCCCATGTGTAACGTGTATACGAGCCACTTTCCCTTAGAAAGTCCTCCACGAAGGCATCCCTCCCCTTAGGCAGATAGCCCTCGTGTGCTTTGCCATAATTAAATACTACACATTAATTATATCATTAATATCTAGATGTCATAAAATTCTACTTTCTTCTTTTGCAGTTATGGGTGTGAACCACAGAACATAACTATGTTTCTGACACCTGATGTTAATTACGATACTAGTGGACCAACGTCGTATTACATAAATTGGTGAGTATATCTTAGTATCTAATGCTTAATATATGATTTTTACATTATAGGCAATGTAAAGTGTACACAAATAGTTTTATGCTTTGTAGACATATGAGGGACATTCCATTCATTCATGGTATACCAACATTTACAGAATTACCGTACAAGTTTGCTTATATGTATATATTTTAAAATACAGTGGAGTGTTGCAAACTCGACTTCGTGTGGACAGAGAGGGAGTCGAGTTACCGGAAATGTCTAGTTTTACAGAAGTAGGGGAGTTATTCACAACTTACAATTCGTACAACACCTAAATCCACGGCAGTTTTATTAATATTTTTTTCTCTTTCTTCACTCAGGGCATCAAGTTCCATTTCCATTTCTATTTTTATTTTTATTTGTGCTCTTTCCTTCTCGTTTGGCATTTTTTCTTACAATATCTGTAAGCCTGGTTATAAACTGAGAAAGTATTATTATTAAAAACAGAAAGTTTAGCTTACAGTAAGGTACAGCCACAAACCTGCTAACAGCTGACAACAGAAAAGAGGAATGTGAGTGATAATTGACGGCGGTTATCTGACGCTTTGAGCCATTTTGCTACTGAGAGGATGAACGGAGTAGATTGCAATTTTCACGAAAAGAATAAAATCTGTCGCCAAATTCATTACAAAGGTTTCAAGAAATAGTCACAAAAGGAAAGAGCTCAAAATTGCAAAATTAGAATATCATAACAAATCTTTGAACAGAACAAAAAAATATGCGGACTTTAATATGCACAAATATATATTATAATTACAATAATACAGTAATTAAAATATACTGTTCGCACCATATAGGGGATATTACAAGTAATTCTAGTTTAGCGATTAATAAAGCACCGCATTTCTTCGGAGATAATGTTTTTTGACCAACAGTTGAGTTTTCTAGTGCATACGATATATATACAGACGAGTCTGGGATTGAGGGGAGTATTGGAACAACATTTGCTGTATATTATTTTGGTGTCGAAATAGACTATATGAAATTTAGATTAAACAACTATGTCTTTCAGGCAGAGTGCGAGACTCTAAATCAAACCTAATTTGGATAAGAGATGCGTTGTTTTTCGAAATGTGATTAATAGTTACACAGATTGTTTGTCGCTGCTTCAGTCTGTCTCCCGCCCAGACAACGCCAATCCCATCATCTTGAAAATCAAAAGCCCACCAGTGGCCGAGCGGTAAAGTCGCTGAACACTGGTAGTTCGGTCCGAGGTTCGAATCCCGCGAACGGGCTGGCTGCATGGGCGTTTTCGTGGTTTTCCCCATGTGTAACGTGTATACGAGCCAGTTTCCCTTAGAAAGTCCTCCACGAAGGCATCCCTCCTCTTAGGCAGATAGCCCTCGAGGCTTTGCCATAATTACACACACACACACATACACTTATGAAAATCAAAAACTGTTTACAAACTTTGAACGGGTATTTAGACGTAAAATTGCACTGGATCAAATCTCATGTGGGGCATATGGGAAATGAAAGGGCCGACTGTCTGGCCAGAGAGGCAGCCTCCGATATGGATCTCCTCTTTATTGAAACTTCAAGATCTAAACGGATGACCATCACACACATAATTAAGACACAATAACACGCCGAATAAATACTAATTCAGAAGTCAAACAACAAAAATCAGCGTTAATTTACAAAATTTTCACAGGACTAGTTTCAATGGTTTTACCGAACCATCATCTTCAGCTGCAAAACCGCAAATGAACAAGATGGGAAATAATGTTTAGATAAGATAAGAAAGCCTGGACAAGAATAAGCAAGTGGCGCCATCTGTTGGCGAAACCAGAACTAAAACATAATTTCTCTAAAAGCCGAAGGCAAATTTGGATTGGAATTAGGATCGTTAACTAGAACTAGAACAGAAAGATTTTTATGAATGTGAAATGCCTCTAGAAAATCCAGTTCTCCAATGGAAGATGTTTTTTGAATAATTTTGGCAGCAGAAAAATTAAAAGTGTGATTTTCGGACCAACAATGTTGAGCAACAGAAGACTTCTGTGTTTCCTTTTTTCTAACATATGCCTCATGTTCTTTGACGCGAAATTTTAAGGCTCTCTTAGTTTGGCCAATGTAAATTAAACCGCACTGGCAAGGAATCCTATAAATACCCCAGGAATTCATATCCGGAATGGGGTCCTTGAGTATAGAAGTTGGAATTTTATTGATGGGAGAGTAAACAACCCGAAAGTTAAATTTCTGCAAAATATGTGCAACTTTATAGCTAATTGATGGAAAGAAGGGAATGACAACAGAATTTTTATAATCTCCTAAAATAAGAGTGTGGCTTTTAGTGTGTTGAGATGAGAATTTTTTAACTGCTTGATTAATAATGTTGGGTGAAAAGCCCCTGTCAATAGCTATTGCTTTTAAATAATTTAGTTCTTCGTCAAGGGCTAGTTTGGAGGAGCAAACTTGAAGAGCACGGAAAACATAGGAATAAAATGAAGCTAACTTTTGTTTAGTCGGATGACATGATTTAAAGTGTGGTGGAAGGCAAACCGATGAAGGTTTACGGTAAACTGTAGTACTGAAGTTGAATGTGTTACGTGTGACCAGAATGTCGAGAAACGGAAGAGAATTGCGAGTCTCAAGTTCAAAAGTGAACTGAATAGCAGGATCAATAGAATTCATTGTTGAAAGAACTCTATTTAAATCATCTTTCTTACCTTCAAACAGGGTAAAAGTATCGTCTACGTAGCGAAACCATGCCGGGAAGTTTAAAGTTTCAAACAATTTTGATTCATAATAATGCATGTAGATATCAGCCAGGATGGGACTGAGGGGGCTTCCCATGGCTAATCCCTCAGTTTGCTTGTAATATTTATTTTGGAAAACAAAATGTGTTTGTTTCAAACAGAGTTGAGTGAGAGAAATTAGCTCATCAATTTCGATGCAAGAGAAATGAAATTCGCGAAGTCTGGTTTCTAGACATCTTAATGCACTCTCCACTGGGACATTGGTGAATAATGATTTTACATCAAAAGAAACCATGAGTAAATTACGAGGAGAAATGTTTTTAACCTTTTTTACAAACTCTATTGAATTTTTTATGGTGTAAATGTTATTGTCTAATAGATTGGAAAATCTAGAAACTAAATATTTAGCTAATGGATACGAGGCAGTACCTAAATTTGATACAATAGGGCGGAAAGGAATACCACTTTTATGAATTTTGGGAAGAGCATATAATCTGGCACAATTCGCAACAGATGGGATAAGCGAATGTTTTAAGTTGCTTGAAATGATTTGCGAAGATTTGATCGCAGCTTTTATTTTGGATAAGTCCGAAGGTGAAGGATCTTTAGGGATCGGATTATATGGTCCTTCGTTTAAGAGTTTAGTGACACCATCGATGTAAGTGTTCTTATCCATGACGACTATCTGGCCACCTTTGTCGGCCTTTGAAATGACAATATCCGGGTTAGAATAAATCTCGCGCATTGTAGCTCTTTCTCTCGCAGTTAGATTTGGTTTCAAAGGTTTATTATTGAATTTCACATTATGAGCGATAAGATACCTAATCATTTCTTTCTGTGAATCTGAAACTTTACTGAACTTGAAAGCTTTTTCGATAGGAGCCAAAATCTTTGGAATCGAGGGTTTACAGGTTTGTGAGAAGTTAAAATTATATTTTAGAATTCTCTCTTGTTCTTCTGAAAGACTAACATTAGAAATATTAACTATTGGCTTGATGTTTACAATGGGAAGATTTTTTGAACTACTTGAACTGGAAGACTGTAAAAGAAGTTTTTCGAATTTAACTGCAAGGCTGTTTTTATGACGGTTAACTGCATTCTCCGTTCTAGACCAAGACTTTTGTTCAAGGGCGGTGAATTTTGGATATGTTTTAGCGAGTTCCAGATGAAGCTTATAGAGTTCATGTTCAATTTTGGACAATTGTTGACGTGTATCCCTTATCACGGACCGAAGTAAGGCAAGTTTGCAATTTAACAGAATTCTTGAAACGCGACTCGAAGGTTTTTGATTAGATTTGATTTGAATAAAATTGGGGATCAATTTTTTACATTTACATTTAAGTAAAAAGTCAAGATGATTCAGGAATTTTTGCCGTTTCAGGCGTAATTTAGTGAAACGATTAACGGATGAAGGCATGATAAACAATGCAGAAAATCAAACATTGCTCAGTTAATTTATTGCTCAGTTAATTTAGTTTGATTTTCTGCATTGTTTATCATGCCTTCATCCGTTAATCGTTTCACTAAATTACGCCTGAAACGGCAAAAATTCCTGAATCATCTTGACTTTTTACTTAAATGTAAATGTAAAAAATTGATCCCCAATTTTATTCAAATCAAATCTAATCAAAAACCTTCGAGTCGCGTTTCAAGAATTCTGTTAAGTTGCAAACTTGCCTTACTTCGGTCCGTGATAAGGGATACACGTCAACAATTGTCCAAAATTGAACATGAACTCTATAAGCTTCATCTGGAACTCGCTAAAACATATCCAAAATTCACCGCCCTTGAACAAAAGTCTTGGTCTAGAACGGAGAATGCAGTTAACCGTCATAAAAACAGCCTTGCAGTTAAATTCGAAAAACTTCTTTTACAGTCTTCCAGTTCAAGTAGTTCAAAAAATCTTCCCATTGTAAACATCAAGCCAATAGTTAATATTTCTAATGTTAGTCTTTCAGAAGAACAAGAGAGAATTCTAAAATATAATTTTAACTTCTCACAAACCTGTAAACCCTCGATTCCAAAGATTTTGGCTCCTATCGAAAAAGCTTTCAAGTTCAGTAAAGTTTCAGATTCACAGAAAGAAATGATTAGGTATCTTATCGCTCATAATGTGAAATTCAATAATAAACCTTTGAAACCAAATCTAACTGCGAGAGAAAGAGCTACAATGCGCGAGATTTATTCTAACCCGGATATTGTCATTTCAAAGGCCGACAAAGGTGGCCAGATAGTCGTCATGGATAAGAACACTTACATCGATGGTGTCACTAAACT